AGTAAACCAAAGAAAACTAAAAAGATGAAAGATGCAGAGAAAACTAGTTCAGACCCTCATCTTGTCAGTGGTGAAGATCTTCCTCAGCCACCTAACATCTGTTCAGCTGTTCACAAAATGAATGTTCAGACCAGCTCAGCAGACTTCAAGGAGACTTATCAGTCTCATGTTCCTGCAGATGTGCTCAATTATTCAGCCAAAGTAAATTATTCTGTTAGTGGTAACAACACTCAGCAGTTTACAAGATTACAAGCTTCAGAAGGCCGAAAGTCACTCCCTGAGCAGAGTACAGCCCAATTAACTAATCAGCAACATTCTCAGAAAATACCTGTTGAGAACTTAGCTCAAAGATCAACTTCTGAGCAGCTTGCTCCAAGATTTTCAACTACTCAGCAGGCTCCAAGGTTAACAGCTGAGCAGTACACTCCAAAACCAATGGCTGATCAACTTTCACCTAGATTCAGGGTGGAAAACACTGGTCAGCATCTAGCAGGATTAAGGGTTGAACAGCATGCACCAAGGTTAATCACTGAACAGCATCTTCCAAGATTTAGACCAGGGCCACCTATTGACCGCCCTCCTACTTGTGATCAACAAAGTCAAAGGTTCCCTGAACAGTCCCTGAGACTTGCTATGCAATCAAAACATAATCTGACATATCAAACTCATGCATCTCAGTCTCATTCTGTAAGATCTATGGCTCAATCTGGCCAGAAACAACAAGCTCAGAAAGATCTTAATGTTCAGTTTAGAAATGGGGACGTTGCACGTTTGTACCAGACCCCTAAACATGGACCACCATCAAGACAGGTAACCCTTGAGTGTAATCAGAAGGTGCGAGACGAGTCCTATCTTTCTGAATGGCATGTAGAAAGTATTTCACAAAGTGACCAGCAAGAAACAGATGGTATCTTTATGGAAGAAGATGGAATCATTTGTTTGGAATGATTCCTACATTTTGTCAATTTTGGGGAAAAAAATGTAATGATTATTTCATTTCCAAGATTGTATTAATAGAAAGCCTTTTTATTTATGAGTCCACTTTAAGTGTTGTATAAATATAATAAATGACATTTTTATTATTTGGCATAATTTCCATGTTGAAATGTGATGTGATTCTTTTTCAGATTGTGACAGTTATGTTGTGCTTACAGAAATAACTTTTTTTTTTTTTTTTTTTACAATAATCTGTAGGTTTTACAGTATCTGTTCATAGGTTTAAATAGTATTTTGACATTTATATAAATTAATTTTATTTGTTTGTTGTTGTTTTTTTAAAATTCTATCTCTTAAAATGTCAATGGCTTTTTTTTTTTTTTTTTTAAATTTACAAGCTTTAAGTTTTCCAGCTTCAAATATTGTTTGTCTATTAAAAAAAAATATATATATATAATTATTTGATTTATAAATATCAGTTACTATCTTTGCAACAATGTTATTCTTGTTTTATTGGTTCATTATGTTTGGTATCATCTGACTGCTCTATAATGAATATGAATTTTTAAAAAATATTAAAATAAAGATTCTTTTAAACACAGCAAAGCTACCAGCTTTGGTCAACATTACAAAATTGGGTCAATGAGATTCAGTTATATTGCAACTCAAGAAAACAAAAATGCTTGGAGGGTGTTGTTGGGATGGGGTATTAAGAAAATTCCCCAAACATTAATATATTTGTAAATACTGTACTATAGATAATTAAAAAAATGTTATATTGAGTAAATAAATGCTATGCTATAGTGTTAGTCTGCTTATTATTCTGGCCTCAACAAATAAAGTGAAATGCAAAGAAATTCTTAAGATGGGTCTGTGGCATGTGCTTGTAAGAAATAATCATCAAGCCATTAAATAACATTTCTATATCTCCTTTCTAAATCTACATGCCAATTGACAGATGATAATATTTCCTATTTTCTTAAGATAAAAATCTTTGCATTGTTATGTATTTCAAATAGAATACACAAGATACATTTTATCTATAACTTACATAATTTGGGGGGGGGGGGGGTAGGGGCACAAATGTAATTGAAATGAAATGGCTATTACCATTATAGTAGTAGTATAGTCTGTTTTTTTGCCACCAAGTTCTTGAAAATAAGAACAGAGTTGTGTAACTCATTGTTGGTAACATATACATTGTGACATAATACTAGAAGACAGCATCTTGTCCTATGCATACTTGACTCCACTGTTCTCTTTTCAAATTGAAATAATTTTATATTGGTTTTACAGAGGAGACTGAAACTAGGAATGTAAACAAATTACAAGAATTATTCTTTTTTTTTTTTTTTTTTTTTTTTGGTGTTACTGTATATTCTAATTATGGTAATTACTATTTTGAGTTTAATAGAAATATTCAGTACATTAGACATGTCATTCTAAATGCATGATGGAAGGTATTATAACTCAAGATTCAGATTAATCTAAGTAGCATTTGTAGTAGCCTACTATTAATTACTTTGGTTTTACTCTATTTAATAGTCTGCATTTATAATGTTGAGCATTTGTTCTCAAATTTATTGGCTTGTAAGGAACAAGTGTACAGTGAAGACTACTCACTATAGTGTCTGGTTATGGTTTATTGTTTATTAGTTTGGAAGCAAGTTAAAATGCTTTTAACAGATTCTTATTTTTCAAAGTGATCATTCTATGTTTCAATCACTATAGTATGTTACATTTTTGTGTTTATGATGTCACTGTTTCCATACATGAACAGGTTTTACTAATAAAATGACAAAACTTCCAAATTGTTGGTGATACCGGTATTTATTTTTTCCTTCTAAACCTTTTTGATTAGATAATCACATGAAACTGCTAGCTAAACATGGAAATTAGTTGTCTTGCAAGACCTAAGTGGAATACACATCCATTGTATCTTTTATCAACTATTTACACCTAAACGAAAATAGATCAAAGATGACATGCGAAATAAATGTTGGCATAAATATCTTTCAGTATTTTTTTTTTTAAACTAATATCTTAATATCATTTTGAGCTCATAAAGATGTTATGGACTGTTGAATAGTGAATAAAATATTGCTACACAGTTACACAAACAGCCTTCAAAACATTTGAAAAGTAACATGACTTTCTTTTGATAAAGGATTTTCAAAAATAAGAATTTGGAAAATCAACTCCTACATTGTGTATAAAAAGAAACCATACAGGCATGTCAGGGGGCTGCTTTGTTCAAAACTCCTACAGCAGAGGTCTTGTCCTACTTTGACAAGCTTGGAAAGACCATTTCATTTTTATATGATTACAATGTTACAATATATATATGATTACAATTTGTGAGGGAATGAGAGCTTTATAATTAAAGTTTTCAAGGATAGCGTTTCTGTGGTTATTTATTGGGCAGTTACACCTGAGTGAAATATCCACATTTCAACATTCACAAACACTTCAAATGTACAGGACTCATGTCATACTAGTTTTAAGAGCAATGCTGTTGTAAATTACACATAACAGGAATTATGTTATAGTATTCTTTTGGCCACTTTAATAGAAATAAAAAGCAACATTTGTCAAGAAGGTCTTTGACTTGTCTGTAATAGGCCAGTATTTGTATAAAATTTCTTGCACACCATTTTCTATCAGACTTTCTAAAACAAATTGCTTTTATGTCCCAAACAAACAACCTACATCTGTTAAATGTCCTGTTATGTAAAGAGTATTTCTAGTATCACTCGTATTCTCCATGGTAACACAAAAAAGTCTTTAGTATAAAGAACACAAAAACTATTTGATGAAAATAAGTTTCCATCACATAAATAGCTAGAGCTTACAATGACTCAAAATGTTCTAGACAAGAGGGAAACTTATGGTGTGAATGTAAGCCATTGTAAGCAAATATGTTGGTTTTCTTTCCCTACACTTCACACCATATAGAATTGAAGGAAAAGCCCACTTTCCTAAGGATGAACAATACCTTACAATTTATATAGATATATACTGTAGATCTTTTGTTAAGGTAAATTGTAAGTGGAAATTGAAAGGAATATACGTAAAGGCGCCTTATGGGCACATTACCTTTCTATTCAAGACATAGTCAATAAGACCAACCTCAAGTATTTCTACAACTAGAACAAACGTTAGAACACAACAAACAAAAATCACATTGAATATTGTTTCAAATTGGATTTAGCAATCAGCAAACTACATTCCAACAGCACCAGTTGATCAAGTCAGTTTATTCATATAGAGGAGAGACATTGTTGACATAATTTCATCTAGTAATATCTGGCTATGTAAAAGTCTCCAATACTGTTATTTATACAAAACTGATCAAGGTTCAGTCCTTTTATCTGCACTAAATTAGGTCAAACTAGAATCAAATTTTCTCATGCATTTGTCTTCAAATGTAAGGTCCACATTTATTCTGTTGTTTACCATTCTTGAGTACTGTTGATAGACATAAAGATAATGCTCAACTATTAATACTGGTTACAATGTTTATATCATAAAAATAATTCCCTGAACAAAACTATGTATTTGATGAACTTAGTCTGCAGGTTAGCCTGCTAAGATTCATTGCTTGAATACCATATAGTGTATTCATGGGTTCTTTTCTGTTAATAAAGATGCACTGAATGCAAGATGTTCTATGGAGATATCCATAATTCAAAATATAGAAATATGGGGAATGGAATACAATTTTCATACAAAATTTGATTCTGCTGTTTCAAGCAGATACTGGGTTATAATCTTCAAAATATAAGTTGTTGAAGCTGTTTTCTTTTCTGGATATATTTTGATAATTAGTTTAGTATTTGGGTCAGACATATTGGATTTACAATATGGTTTCATTCATTTTTTATTTAACATTTTTTTTTTTTTTAACAAAAATGGGGTAATTTTAAAGTTAAAATTTTTTAAATTTTAATGTTTTGCCTTAAATACAAAAAGTTAAAATGAAAAGATCTTTATAAGATTTTTAAAAAAGCAAAACCAATTAAGGACAGCTTAAACCCCAAATAACATGTTTTAATAATAAAAAATGTTTTAATAATAAAAAATGTTTTACTATGTGTAGGCATGCAAATAAGAAAAAAAAAAAAATTGTTCTTTATATCGAATCCACTTTTGAGAAAATAAAATTTTGGGGGGATTTTTCTTTAGCTAAAATGATGAAAAATAGTTAATTTTCATGTCAAGATTTCTTGAAAACTACTAAAGCTAGTTCAATAAAACTAAAGCTGCTGATTATTCAATACTAAAAGATTGTGAAGAAGAATTGACCATATTCATTGAATAAAAAAAAAAGTTACAGCTCTAAACATGGTTGTGGCCCATTATTTCAAGTTTTTATAGGGGTTAGGCATAGAAAAAAATTAATTACTCTAAAAGTTTTCAACCTTTTGTAATTATTCTGCTTCACTTTCATACATGTATATACAACATTATTTGTGCCAAATTTCAAGACAAAATATTCATAAAAATTTTTTTAAATGGTTAATAGGAGAAAACAGCTAAAAACGACAAACCTCTGTGGTAAAAACTCAGTTAGTATACAAAATATAAACAAATATTTAAAATACTTCCACTTTGAATTTGGACATGTTGTATACACCAAATTGTTCAGAAATGAATGCTGTATAATATTCAGTTATAAAAAAAAAATCGATAATTTTGAAACATAGGGGGGTTTAAGCTGTCCTTAAGAATGACATTTATATTTGTTTCTCATTTTCCTAAACAAAAAAATGATACAAAACTCTTGTTTGAAGAATCAAATGAGAAACAAGTTGCTTTGTTCAGACACACCAGCTGATGTCTCCACACACTAAAGTTATACATTCTTTCAATCCAAGCTGAATATGTCTAATCTATAGCCCAACCTTTACATAGCAACTCTAACACTAGAACTCCTTAAAAGTATAACCTAACACTATCATATAGCCTGGATATAGGTAAATAATAATCAAATCAATCCATACATGTTACAAATATAAACGTTTTATACATTTAAGAAACATTTTTAGCCATGTAAAATTTAGCCATTCAACAACAAGCTAAATTTGAGCTAAACAAATGCATAGAAAAACATTGTCTAGAATCTATTGCATGACACTGAATAAATAAAAACCAATGTTTAAATAATCAATGATAGAACACTGATCCATACACTACCATATCCATCTTGACCAGCATTTCTCAATGTGAAGCATAGGTACCCTAGTTGAGGGGGGGGGGGGGGGGGGGGGGGGGGTGTTACTTAAAATGGTAAAGGTGATAAATGCCTATGAAGACTAAATATAGTAGGGAAAAACATTGATCAAGAAAAAGCTAATTAACTAAACCATTCAACAAAATGGCTACACACAAAGTTATTTATATTTATTATGTGTTAAAGAATAAAAATGCATCATTTTGAAGAAAACTTCAGTTTTTAGTTTCTAACTCTTGTAAGCTTGTTTCAGTAGATATTTTATAAAAGAAAAATAAATGAAAGTACTTGATCCAAAATTATTCAATCTCAGAATTTTACTGTTGATGGAGTAGAGAAATAAATAATTTTTCATTTGTACTTCAGTAGCCAAGAGGTTGATATTATGTACAATATGTTTTGGAAATAAATGTTAACTTTTTTTTAAATCTAAGAAATAAATTTTGTTATAATTAAACAAGGATAAACTAAATGACCATTTTTGTATGTTTATGTTTCTAGTATTATAATACAGAAAATGTAGAGCATCTTTGAACTCTCAACGTGGCAGCACATTAGGTATAACATTAATATATTAACAAAATGTAATTGTATAAAAAAATTTATTCATTGCAAATAAAAAAAAAATGAAATAAACCAACCTACGTATGCAAATAAATACATGTAAATAAAAACTGTTTAGATGAAAGCAATATGTCTTGTGGTGTAGAAATGAGAAGGAATGTCAAAAGTCATGTCGATGTCTAATGTTTAAGTAAATGAAACCAAAAACAAAACAAAAATGCTCATTATAAGAGTAGGCTTCAATGTAGATAGAGGTTTGTATTCCATATTTCTAAATGGAGATTTGAACTGTGTTAAAACAGTGTGACTAGACTACAATTACAATTTGGATATTCCAGGCATGATCAAGTTCAACACTTTAATACTACAAACTAAGTATCAATTGCAAAAAATGAATCTTCAGTGTAAAATAATTTCTTGAAAATAATCTTTCCTTGTTGCACAATGAAGTCAAATTTGAGATATTTCTGACTTGATGCTAGTCTTTCTCTTGTACTTCTATTTGTGGCAGTATTTCCCAATGGTCTGTTCACATTTATTTAAACAATATTATTTACAAAATCATTTTAGAAAAAAAATCTTTTGAATTATATTTAGTGAAAAGAAAAAAACATTTTTTGAGTAAAATGCATAAAAAAAAAAACATTTTTTTAAAATTAACTTTTTTTGCAAAAATAAAGATAAATGTACATACATCAGGAATATAGTTCTAGATAGAATATAATAAATAGTTTTATTCATGCATATGTGAAAATTTTAAGCATCCTTTGGTCTCAATTTAAACAAAAAGTCAATGACAGATTCATCAGCTAGAGTACTTGTGTCTCCAATGTCTCTATCATTCACAGCAATCTTACGCAGGATTCGTCTCATGATTTTTCCAGATCTTGTTTTGGGCAAAGCTGGTGCATTCTGAATATAGTCAGGTTGAGCAAAAGGTCCTATCTTTAGTCTCACTGGAATTTTTAAAAAGTCAAATGTAAAATTGTCAATTTATTGGGCTGGAAATATGAAATTTCAAATAATATAAATTAAAAAATAAAAAAATTTTCAGCTCTAAATGTGAAAAGAATAAATAGAGTTTGTTCAACTGGCTAGTCATGTAGTGATCAGTATCCACTATTTATAAAATCAGAATGTACCTGCAGCTGTTAACTCTTTCACCAAGTCATCACTAAATGTTTCACCCTAAAATACACAGAAACACAAGTTAATCAAATGTAGTTGCTATTTGAAGGATTTCTAATTTAATTTTGTTCCAATTTTAATAAAGCTAAAGGTATTAATGAATTCTCCATTCACTTTTGTTCAAAAGTTTTATTACATTCATCCCTTTAAAATCAATTGTCAGAAGAAAAAAAAAAAATCCTTATTGCATGCTGTCTAATTTATAACAATAATTGTAACTAATGACTAAATAGAAGTCTAATCTTAGAAGGATCTTTTCAGTCTTTTACAATAATAAATTTTACACTCTTGTTATTTCGTGAATTAAAAAAATGAATCAAGGATCCTCAAAGGGGGGAAATTTTTACTAAAATGTTGACACTATTAGAACCACATTAATATTATTGATTTTTTGTTAGAATTAGAAAACATATAAGGCCTATTACAATGCGAAGGACATGTTTGTTAATTCACTGGTATATAATATAAAACCAACAGAAAAAAAAAACCTGCCTCTTTAAGTGTGACAAAACAGTAGATACACTCTCCCTTGATGTGATGTGGATGGGAGACTGAAGCAGCCTCAGACACAGCTTCATGTTCTATCAGTGCAGACTCCACTTCTGCTGTGCTCAGCAGGTGGCCTGATACATTCACCATGTCATCAATACGACCTGTTATCCACAAGTAGCCTTCCTCATCTCGTTTAGCCCCTGGAACAGTCAAGTAATAGGGCAAGTTTAAAAAAGTATATGTTTTGATGAACATTTCATGTGTAGATCTCAAATAAATATGATATAGGAAAACTGTGCTTTGCTTTCAGTAATTACAAAAACACACAATTTTATGAAAAAATAGAGAAAGACTGCATTTACCATCTCCTGTGGTATAATAGCCTGGAAATTTTTTGAAGTATGTGATTTCAAATCTCTCATGGTTGTTAAAAACAGTTCTCATTATGCCAGGCCAAGGCTGTTTGAACACCTGGAAAATAAAAAGGTTTTGGTAAAAGTAAAAGTGAGATTAGAGTGGCAGTATAATGCATAGGTGATTTGTTTCTTTATGGATTTCTTGTATTCTTAGAGCACATATAAGTTAGTTTTATCTTTTAGAAGCTGCATGCCACATATTCTAAAGGTTGGAGAATGACGTACTTTCATGCGACCTCTCTTTGAACACGCACTCAAACACAAACACTGTCCTTCCTAACAGAGTCAATGAGAGCAATGTTTCTAACTGAATGTTGATCCCAGAGCAAACAGTCATCATGTGTACACAGGAAGTGAGGGTTTAGGGACAGTTAACTTGTGCAGTATCACATATTTACTTTAACAAGATATGGCAAGCAGGCAGTAAAACTTGCATTTTGTTTTCTACATTTATGTGACACACATTTATTGCATTGTACAATTCAACTTATTAAGATTAAATATAGACAAAATCATAGATAGATTTTTCCTATTTACTCAGTTGATATGTTTAAAACAATACTTCTTACCAAGTAACCTTCACCTGGGCCAACAATCTCTTTGCCATCATCAGTCAGTAGAGCAGGCACAATGCCAAAAAATGGAAAAGTCTGTAGATAAAAGTGAGACAATTAAGAAGTAAAAGTGAGACAATTAAGAAGAAAAAGTGAGACAATTAGTAAGTAAAAGTGAGACAATTAAGAAGTCAAAGTGAGACAATTAAGAAGTCAAAGTGAGACAATTAGTAAGTAAAAGTGAGGCAATTAGTAAGTAAAAGTGAGACAATTAAGAAGTAAAAGTGAGACAATTAAGAAATTAAAGTGAGACAATTAAGAAGACAAACATTCAAAGCATGATGCCCTCCCCCTCAACAATATATTTCTTTTCTTTATATGCCTGAATGTTAGCACAAATTATTCCATTTTACTACTGCTCATGACTGTTTGTCAAGCGCTAAATCTCACATTTTAAAAAATGTATTAACACTGAGATAACTACTAATAATTAATAACCATATACATTAAATACACATCGTTTTCTATGCCCATTCCAAATAAACTCAGTGATATGGATTGTGCTTTTGTGTTTATAGACCTTGTAGTGGTATGACTAAGATGCTATTTTAAATAAGAATGGATTATGAATAGCTATTTTTAACTGAGAATGCAGCGTTTAAAAAGAGGAATGATGATTGATGAAAGGGGTGGGGGGCATAGATTTGAAAGAGTTGAGAGATAATTGTAAATCCTTTAACATCTTGTGATTAAATTTGTATTTGTATTACAGCACTGATATTAAAAGCCTGTCAACCAATTAGTTTTAAAAAAATTTAGTAATTTTGTTGTAAAGAAAGATTTCAAGCTTTGATTCAATTGTGTGTGTCCTGTATGACTATAGGGTAAATTTGATTTAGCTGTCAACAGCTACATCACAATACATACCTGTAACACCATTGATGACATATACAAATGTGTGTGTACTGTCTGATCTTTTTTAATTTAAAAATGACTGACTGAACTAATGAGAGTTGATAGCATGGTTTATTAGAGTGTCTGGTTCTTGATATTTTAATGAGTAATGTCTTAAGAACTTTTACATTGGTTTACAAATAAAGTTAAATCCTGCCTGCTATTTAACAAGTTAGTTTCTCTGTTGAGTTACTGTATGTTGAATATAAAACATTACTAAAACAATACCCAAGGACACTAAAAGCCAAGTGTAAGTTTCCCTTAATGTGAGAACAACAATACTATGAGGCACAAAAACTGACTTTTGATATGTACAATGAACAAGTGTCTACAGCAATATGCCTATTTAAATATTCTATCAATTAGGCCAACTTACAGCAGAGCCTGGTTTGGTCTTCGTTGCAGCTGGTAATGGTGTAATCACATGCCCTCCCTGGACCAACAACAAAAAAAAATTAATTAAATGGATAAGCTAATGCAAAACAAATCAATACTAAGACTAAAAACATCTACTTACAGTTTCAGTCTGCCAGAAAGTATCTACTATTGCACAATTCTCATTCCCAACAATCTTATGATACCAAAGCCAAGCCTCAGGGTTGATTGGTTCACCTACAGTACCAAGAATTTTTAATGAAGATCTGTCATGCCTGAAAAGGATACAGTTAAGTTTGTTTTTTTTATGTACAAATTTAAATATGTAATTGCACATTAAAGATCATGAACATTTTCTCTAGTTAAATATTAACAAAAAAAAAAGTATGCATTACTTTGTGACAAAGCTATCATCAAACTTCATCAGTGAACGAATGGCAGTTGGTGCAGTATAGAATTTGGTCACCTTGTATTTTTCAATCACAGC